TCATCATCATCATCATCATCATCATCATCATCATCATCATCATCATCATCATCATCATCATCATCACCATCACCATTCTTATCATCAATAAATCTCACCTTTCTCCAAAGTACGGATTGGTCCAGTTCGTACGATTTCAGAAGGTCCTGCCGACGTCTCTGCGTATATCTCGAACCAGTAATCTGTATTGTACGTCAGCTTTGAGACCAGCTTTCTATTTTTGTCGATACCTGGACAAGGAGCAGAATGGTACATGTAAAAAAAGGAAAAGATTTTAAAAGTTATTAAAACTGCTTTTCCACGGTAATTGACGAGCCATTTGGACTGCTCTTTCTTACAAAGATAACATTGTAATTCAAAATCAATAAATCTATTTCAACTCAAAATACTTCATTCGTCCCGTTTGTTACCGAAATTAAACACGTCACAGAATTTGCATAATAAAGTACTTTTTTTTTCAAATGACTGCATTTAACATGATTCTTAATATTATGTCTTTCAAATGTTCTGTTCAGTTAAAGTTAAATTAAATTAATTGACATTGAATTACAAGGTTATCATTGTGAAAAAGTGTAGTCCAAATGTCCTGTCAGTTACCGTGGAATATCCCAGAAAGAACAGGACAATGCTGGTGAGTTGAGGGCTCTCGTGGCCTAGAGGTTAAGGTGCTCGCCTCTCAAGCAAAGGTTCCGGATTCGAATCCGGATAACCACATTAACATTTCTTCTCTAAAATTGTCTCCTTTCACATCCTTTCCTGCTCTCTAGCCATGTTCTGTCGTCTGCTTTCGTCTCCACTTTCTGCTCCCACCCCCTCACCTCCCTTGCCCCCTCCTCTAGGCTTCTAACGCTTTCTGCAGCCTTTCTACTGCTACGCCTTGGCTCCTTCTTACTGCTGTCTTTTAGCCACACCCCTGATCTTTAGGCAGGAAAGATCTACACCCAGGATTCTCGGACAAGGGCGAAAAATCTCCAAGGTCCAAAGTGCAAGCTTCGCACGTTAAAGATCCTTTGGTTGTCCAAAATCGATAAGAGTAGGCTTCGGCCGCCACCCGGACAAAATTCAAAATTTCCAACCTACCGAAAATGTTAAATGTGTCCTGCGCGCTCATAGGACCTTATGCAGTTGTGACCGCCGTAAAACACGTACAAAAAAAAAAGAGATAAAAGATGGTGAGCTGAACCCAGAGTTCAGCGAACCATAAAGTATTAATGTCGTTTGTTCTTCGCGCAATGTATAAGAGAAGAACGTATTCCTCTCCAAATCCAGGCATAAGAGTGGCACACATAATTAAACACACACACACACACACACACACACACACACACACACACACACACACACACACACACACGTACATACACACACACACACACATGAGCACACACACATACCCACACACACTCTCTCTCACACACATGTACACACATAGATACACACACATATATACACAAATACACACACAAAAACACACCCACATGCACACATACGCACACATTTACAAACGCACACATACAGATACTCTCTCTCTCTCTCCGTTCTCTCTCTCTCTCTCTCTCTCTCTCTCTCTCTCTCTCT